CTCCCCCGACCTGGGAAAGCGCATCCTCTCTCTATGGCACCTTCCACGGTTGACCTGACACCAGCTGCTGCAGACTGGGAAACCGCGCCGTGTTCTTGCGCTCAGGTGCCAGGATTACCGACAGCTGTTCCTCCTGAACTCGGTCCAGGAGCCATGCATCAATGGAACTGGGGGAAACGCATAAAAGTCCGCCCCAGGACATGATGTCCACTCCTCTGTTCAAGACGCTGGAGCAGCCCCGACTCCAGATGAGTTTAACAGGATGGGGCATCGAATTATTTTGGGGGGCAAAATGAATCACCTGCATCCAACAGCTTTATTAAACTCAGTCAGTTAGTTGGGGGGGAACAACTGTGCAAACTTCTTTGTGTTATGCTGGTGTAACCCAGTCCAAAATAAAGGTATTTTGTATTGAGTTAAGTTCACGGAGGGTGTAAAAATTTAGAATGTATTAAACATGTTTGCTTAAATATGTTAAAATTGTTATAAATAAGTGTTAACAAAAAGTTGTACTTACAGGTACTTGAAGTAATATGGTATGAGTTAAAATAATTTGGAAAAATGTAGTTAAAACTGTTTTGTAGAAAAGTAATCTTCAACATATTTTATTTTGAAGGGGTCATGTTTGTAAGAGGAAGTTGTGTCGAGCAAAGCAACTTTACTGGTCTGTGGTTGACTGAGGATGAGGAAGGGATAGGAGAGCAGAGAAAAAGACAGAAAAATGTGGCGGAGAAGAGAAGAAATGAGAGAGATGAACCGCGCTGAAAAAACTTATTAAGAAACGAGTGTTTTGCAGATATTTAGACTTTCAACTCGACAGTCTTTTAATAGATATCGACGCTACACTCTTGTTTGCAGCTACTGTGATAATTTCAGACCGGAATTCACTGTACAGTAGGCGAAAGTCATATGTAATGCTCGCTAACGCATTAGCATTCATTAGCACAGTGAATGGACTTTTATACTGTGAGCTAACTCGGCTAACATAAGACTCAACTAATGTTTCCGTCGTGGGAGCATTCAAGAGTTAACCTAGTGCAGAGAGATGAGCTTGATTTTTTTTTTTATAGGATAGTATGTGAAGTTTATTATTCTTAATCAGAGCCTCATGATTGGGTGAAAAGAATAGAAAAGTACTGGTGTATTATTACTCTAAGGTGAGTGAAACTCAACATAGCTTTAAACACAAGAGTGTATTAAGAGTTATTATTCGTAAGTTACTGGGTTTAACAAACTCAGGGGCCCATACTTACTTTAGAGCGGTATAACTGGTTTGCTGCCATGAGTCTAACAGCTCCTGAGCAGCTCTGCACAGCAGCAGGTCTCCGTCGCTGCCATGTAAACCCATCGTGAGCGTCGTAGCGCTCATGTTGCGTTTGAAGGCGGCTCAGAAAAACTGGTCACAGCATGTTAACAGCAGATTAAACCGTTTTAACTGCTGATAAAAGTGACAGAGGACACAGATATGGGAAGTGTGGAATCCCCTACTGTATCAAACTGATATAGGAATCACAGAGAGTTGACCACTCTAAAGTAAAAACAACAAACAGCTTCCAGTCCAGGAGGGGGCACGACAGACTCTGTGGGCGGGAAATGTCCCTCAAAGCCGCTGGGCCTGCGTTGGGGATGTACACCACTCTGATCTAGAGCAGGTTTACATGCGCCCAGCCCAGCAGCTGTCTGGCGATGTTTAACAGCAGAGCGGAGCGCACGCCTCCCGTATGCTGCCACCACTCTGTTGTCCGTGTGGATCAGAACATGTTGACCCTTCAGCAGAGGATCAAAGTGCTGAGTTACCGCCAACACCGTGAGGAGCTCCAGCACGTTATATGAAGAGTCATGTCGTCTGGCCACTGTGCTCCAACCACCTGAGACAGACACGTTCCTCCCCATCCCGACCGATCGACGTCTGTGAACACCGATAGGTGTGAGGTGGGTCTGCTGAGGGGAACTCCCTCTGCCAGAATGCTGGGGGTTCCCCATTGAGTCAGATCGGCTCCCACTGAAGTAGGAACAGAGATCATGCGCCTCTTCTTGCGCACAGGATCTATGCGCAGGTGAGCGAACCATCTCTGAAGGCATCTCATGTGCAACAAACCCAGCGGAATCACCACGTGAGCCGCTGACATGATCCCCAGCAGCCGAGTGACTGACAGAGCTGCCACTACGCTGCGAGGCCTAACACGGCAGAGCTGTACTGACAGAGCCTCGATTCTCGGCTCTGCTAATGGGGCTCTCATCGTAACTGAGTTCAGCTCCACTCCCAGATAAACGATCATCTGGGACGAAATAGCCCTACTCTTTTCCCAGTTGATGGAACATCCCAGACTCAGCAGATGTGATGTGTTCCTCTCTGGACCGAGCCAGTAAAAGCAGGTCGTCCAGATAGAAGAGGACTCTCATCCCTGCCATGTGCAGTGGCTGCAGCGCTGCTTCCACACATTCGGAAAACGTGCGCGGGACGAGAGAATAATCGAAGGGCAGACGGTTGTACTGATACTGGGTCCCCTGGAAGGAGAAACGCAGATACTTCCAGTGTTTCAGGATGATGGAGACTTGGAAGTATGCGTCTTTAAAATCTAAGGAGGTGAACCAGTCGTCCTGGTGAACGTTTTTCAGCACCTGTCTGATTGTCAGCATGTGGAATGGCCTCTCCACGATCGAGTTGTTGAACAGGGCCAATTTGAGAATTTCCAACAGGAGGTCTCACTCCTCCTGTTTTTGGGGACCAGAAAATAGCGGGAATAAAACTCCGCATTTTCTTCTCCCTGGGGAACTGTGGAAATAGCACCTTTCGCCACCAGTTCCTGCAGCTCTGACATGAGAGCGGTGTTCTGCTCCGGAGGTGGTAGAAGCCTCTCCACGATCCCCTTGAAAGGCAGAGGCCTGCCTCCAAATTGCATAACCCTTGCTGAATAGCTGGTCCATCCACCTGTCCAGGGAACATGCAGTGCCGCCACTCTGAATAATGTTCTGAAAGCGGGTGTGCATTCATGTGAGGTGCTGTGGTTCGCATATACTATAGCCAAGTCAGAGCCCCTACCGCCGTCCCCTGCCTCGGAGATTCTCTTGGGGACTTATGGGGGCCAGAAAAGGGCTAGTTGTTAGCCTCCATGCCGCATGATGAGGCTGCGTTCATGTCAGGCTGAGGATGAACCCACGTGCTTCCTGAAGGGGAGTCAGGATGCTTAAGATGACATTTCGGCGAGGACTGCTGCCGGACAGATGACAACTCACAAAGTGAGATGAGTCGAAATGACATTAACGCGCCAAACTGTGTTTATAAGGAAGCGAATCTGTCAATCTGTCAAAAGCATTTGCCAAACGAATTCTTGATGTTTTACGGTACAGAGTCAACTATGGAGCAGCTTCAAAGGAAAGGTTTCCGCAGTGTTGGACCTTTTTGATCTTATATTGGAAAATAAATTTGTTTTCATTTTTGTGGTTTCATCCGGTTCTTGTCAGTTTCTACTTGATCTATCTGAATCCAAATTCAGCTGAAATTGACTTTTAGTTTATTTTCATATTATGTTCTGCAGGTTAAGTGTCGCATATGTTTGACTAAACTGTCTTTTTTAAATAAATCCACCTTTTCAATGTTGAGGCATTATGAAGCCAGGCATGAGAATGAAGTCCCAAATACACCCAGATAAAATCAGATATACAGCCATTCTACAAATTACTCAGTTGCTTTTTATAAATTATTTCATATACAGTGATCCCTCGCTATAACGCGGTTCACCTTTCATGGTATCGCTGCTTTGCAAATTTTTTTTTTGTGCATTTTTTTTCACAGTGTTCTGCGTCCTGATAAACCGTATGATTAGTAAAAACAGTCTCCGTGTTCTTCTCTACCTGAGTGCCAGTAAATACTGTATTTAATACAGATTGGCCATTCAGGAGATTGAAACTGTAACTTTGAATGCGAGCTGGAAAAAACCGTGGCCAGAGGCAGCAGAACCCGACTGGAGGTTCGCTTGACGATCCATCGCTCTGCCGTAGATACAGCTGTGAATCTCGCAAAGCAGCTTGGAGGGGACGCTTTAATGACATGACTCCAGATCACATTAAGGCCCGATTGATGTACACGCACATCCGCTGATTTGAAAACAGGTTTTGTTATT